GGGGGGGGGGGGGACCGGCGATTGAGAGCAATTTGAGGTGGGAGTGAATCAGGTCGGCTTGCGTGTCTTCCTAGGTTCTGTGTATATGTCATGAAAGCGCAAACTTGATTCCTTCCCAATCCATCGCCGGGAACATCGGATCATGAGTTGCGTGGAAATAAACAAAAAACAATATTCTTGGTACAGTAGCGATGTGGTTGTTGGGAAGTCCATATTCAAATCATCTCGGGCTCCGATAGAGGGCTCAATACCTCACGTTCTCTCTGTGTCTGTGTGGCAATGGCTGTTTCTCGTGCGAACCGAACACCACCATGCCAAGTGATTTCGAAGAAGAGACACAATACGGTGGTAAGGTCAGGAAAACGCTCAACGGTTGTTATCCAGGGGATCTTCGTGCGGCCGGCCGGGTTCGCGTGGTTTCATTGCAGACAACGAACCATTGATATCGAACCAGTCAGAAATGCGCTACCAAAAATGGCGAAGCAATCATCATCGTGAGGTGGAGGGCCACCAAAGGTGCTGGCGACGTGCCGACTAGCAAAGCACGCGAAAGCATGTCGTCTAGCGAAACATGTAATATAGCATCTACCGTGGGAGACAACGGAATCACGTACTATTGGATGATCTTGATACGGTGCGAGGACATCCCGTAGTGCTGCTTGGACCAAAGGGGGAGGACGATCCCGGCAAAGATGAGCGACGGCATCACGAACCCGGAGTGGTACCAGAGCACCCCGTCAGCCTCCACCCACACCAGGAGCATGATCGGCAGCGGGGCCACGAAGAGAAGCTGGCATTTGGAGGACGACAGCACGCGAGGATGGGCACGGGACGGGGACAACGGAAAGGCAGTAGGTGGCACGGGCGGGCAAAAGGAGGTTCGCGGGGAGATGCTCGCGTACCCTGAGAGTGGACGATACAGCAGAACGCAGAATGACAAACTTGCGAATGCATATGATACCAAGAAATGAGTAGATTGATCAGAAGTGCTGGCACCTAGTACGGCCAGCTGTTGGCTTTGACGAAACGGGCGAAGCTGTGGCCCTACAGAACGCGTTGTAGAACGCTTTACAGCACCTTGTGGGCACGATCTCGATATCAGGAGGGAAAACGGCAACCGAGGATGACATTTGTGAAGTAGAATCAACCTCAATCAAGTTGCGGAAGGCAGGCAAGTTGCACGGTGTACCGTTGCCGTGCGTTTGGCCCATACCGCCATTTTTTGTGGCGGGGACGCCACAACTTACGAGAGCAGTACCCATGTAGTACAGCAGGCCGTTTAGGAAGCACAGCATGTGGTGTTTGGAGATGTTGGACGTCCAGAACTCCTCCTCCCTGACGAGCGTCGCGCTTCCCTTGCACCAACGGTACTGCTGCATGAAGAAGCTCTGCGGCTCATCGGGGCAGGTCCCCATCGCAAGGGCTAGCGACACGGACTTGATCTGAAGACGGGAGTAAAGACATTCGAAGGATAGAGGGGGACAATGCCGTCAACGAGTGGTATGACGGAAGGCTTATTGGCGCCACGGCGGACAGGATCTATCGCATGCAGGCGCGCAATCCTTTGGAAGTATCGAACACTCGGGTAGAGGCGAAAGGGGCACCCACACTCACCCGCTTTGATATCCATCACCGAAACCCTGACCTTTGGGTCATTGGGTCATCTCAAACAACAACCCCGATTGATGAGCAAGCACAACTCCTGGCCGTGGACACAATAGACACATCGTGCCCGAACGGTCCCACACACCTTGAACCCGTTTTCCGTCATCTTGTACCCGGTGTACACGTCCTCCGAGTGCTCGATGGCTCACCCAAAGGCTCCAAGGCCGCCCTGCGGTACAGTCCGCAGGACCCCACGCACACGGCCGCGTTGAACCTGTCCTGGTTCATCTATATAGCAGTCGCGGAGACAAAACAGCATTGGCAACGGAGGAGGTGTATCAGGTGCGTCAAGTTCTGGTTGAGAGGTTGGGTCACGGTGTTGCGGGCACGACGAACAAAACCACGGGACTGTGTAAGGCAGTACGCCGACCCCACGACACACACCCTCGAGGCCGTCTGGCTGTTCCTTTAGCTCGGAGTGGCTAAGGGAGCAGAAACGAACGTGAAAAGGCACCCTATGGTGCTTTGACCTCGAGGTGGCAGAAAAGTAAGGGTGTACGACCCCCTGGTCCTTTTGGCGTCGATACTTTTCATGCCCAGGATGGTACGGCAGCCGTGGTCCGTACGGAGAACCTTCAATCCGAAGGATTTCTCTTAATATCTCGGCCCCGTCGGCTTTTCTCGACCACTGTAGTCAGCCCTTCTATCCCCATAGTTCGCGCTTTTTTACGTTACGGAATAGCTCTTGCATGCCTCACACCCCCGAGAAGTCGGATCCAGGGGCGCCCATGCGTGGGGGGTTGCGCTGATTTGCAGAGTGATGCGGTCGTACACCTTGTTGTAAGCGCAAAACCCCAAACTGCGCACATGCATGTGCACGTGTGTATTGTCCAAACGAGACTCCGCCCGAAACTGACAGAACAGTAGTGGACGAATCAGATACGCTCACCTGCGCCATGCAGTAGAAGAATTCTTGCGAGATACCAGCCCCTTGCTCCACCCACGTCTGCTCCTTGCGGTGTCGGAAGAACTGCGGCGTCTGAACGATGCCAATGGTGGGGTCCTCGCCGAGATAGGGCACGGTCTCCTGCAAGAAGTCCGCCCTGATGACGAAGCACAGTAGGGTCGTTCGCAATTTAAAATCACAACTATATTGGGGGGGACGTACACTCACGAAAACAAGTATCATCTCTTGTTCGTGGTCTCAGAGCGTTTACGGTTTACGGCAGGGGGTGCTAGAATGACATCCACATAATGCGCTCGTTGTCTGGAGTCGCGCGTTCTGTATGAGGAAGATTTACGATCAAAATCGGTATAAGGAGTGCTCCTGTTCATGGTCGAAGCACCGCCGAAAGAATATTCGCACGGATGACAAGGGTATACGGTGGACAATAGACTCAAATTTACGGGACTAACCTTTGTATGACCAGAAACGATCAGAAATCGCAAGGTTTCGGCACAAGGCAGTTGGAGAAGGGCCTCACTAACGTGGGACAATAGTCGGCGTCGAATATGGCGATCGCTTCCCCCGAGGTCCGCGCGAAAGCATGTGCGCAGGTTCCCCGCATTCTTCAGCGCCGGCACATCCGTCCTCAGAACATCTTCCACGACAGCGACACGGGGCGGGTAGCGGAAGCGGGATGTGTTGAATTTGGCAATGGTAGCGGCAGCGGAGGCGGAGGTAGCAGCTCGGGGAGTGCAGGTGATACCCCATGCGAACCGATTTGGTACAATATCGGGAACTGAAGAGAGGAAGTGGCTCCGGCCCGCGTAGCACCAAGGATAAACACATGCCACGCTCTGGCGTCGTAGAGATGCTGGCGTTTCCCCATACCATATCGTTCGCCTGCTTTGTGACGTTTCAGCACTTTAACGCGTCTTTGTCTAGGCGAATGTCTTGATCGATCTAGGTCTGATGCACGGGGTAGCATGGTCCCGCGAAAGCCGCCGTGACATCCGGGATTGTTCGGCTCGTTCTATTACTTCGTCGTTACAACAGTACCTGATAAATTTTCTTGCCAGTCAACAGCTTCCTCGCACCGGTTTGATCAGTGCTACAGAAGAGGTACAGTGAATCCGCGTCAGGGGAGATGGTCCCAAATATCTTCAAGACGACGACGACAACAACGACGACCACGACGACGACGACACACCGAAAAAGTAGCAACGAAAAAAACGAAACGCGGGGTATGGGCCGAGGGCAAGATTGTTCAAAATCTCATCAAAACCCATTTCCACTCCCGGTGCACCCTCACATTCAAACCCAAACGTCGATGCGAGGGCTTGGACCCCCTCGCTGGCGCCGTCGTCCAACAGGAACACCTTGAAGTCGGGGTAGTCCATCGCGGCCACGTACTTCCACGTGTTGGCGAGCAGGCGCAGCGGCTCCTTGCACACGGGCAGGAACACGTCCACCGAGGGCCGGTAGCCCTTCTCCTCCGACGTCTTCAGCATTTCTGCATGAACCTCGGCTTGAAATCCTTGCCCCAGATGGCCACCCCAAGGTCTGAGGCGTTCAGAGAAAACGACAGTTCGGAAGAAGGGTGTTTCCCCAGGTGTGCGGTCATTTTCTCTATGGTCAGGTTGGAACACCACACATGTCACGGAACAGGTCGCGCTACCCGGAGTGACGAAATCGCGGTAGCTGTCCACCAACAAGCCGACGAGAGCACACCAAATGACGAGTCTCGTTGGTGCGACACTGACCAAGGAGAGCGATTAATGGCGAGGCGGAAGCTGCTTCTACAGGGAACAAAGGACACTCACAAAGACGACTATCGCCATCGTTTGGCGCGAACATCTGATGGGAGTAGGTCATCAGAAATCCGTTGGGTCCTAGACAACCAAGGGAAACAACTGTTTGCGGGACGTCGGATGGGAAGAGGGAATCAGAAACCCGATGGGTCCTGAACAAACAAGACTAGCATTTGTAGAACTCCGTTGGAAAAATAACCATCTAGACAAACCACCTCAATACACCAAGACAAGCAAGTCCAAGACAAGACAAAGGCGGACAGGCGGACAGGTGGACAGGCGAAGGTGGCGAGGCCCTCGCCAGCTACACGCAGAGCGACTAGACCTCGTAGTCCTCGGGTCGCTACATACATCTATTCACGCCGTATCTCTCAGTCTCCCACAACATGCTTTCGATGGTACTCCTCCTCACAGTGGCAGCCCTAATAGACGATGACGAATACCGCCGGCACGCCGAACCAGTAGAAGGCCGGGGTAGCGATGGTGAAGAGCCATATGCCCCACGTCAGCGTGACGAACGAGGTCATGGCGCAGGTGACGAGCCCAAATCGTCCGGTGTTGTGGTAGATCACCTGGGTGTGTTTGTGCGCCAGAGAGGCCCCCAAAAAAGGCGCTTCATACGATAGTAAACCACCACACCGCAACACTGCCGCTTCAGGGACTATGGCAGGGTGGTCGTGGTGACCGGCCCAGCCACCGCAGCTCCGCTCCGCAAGCCGAAGCGGGTACGATCACCGGCCGTACTCAGGTAATCCAAGCGCGTTACGAAGCACCTATTGGGACGTTTCTGTTTCCATCCCCATCCCGCTTACGAAGAACACTGTTCGCGCATCCCTCGACATTCTTTCGCATTATGAACATGTACACGCACGGGTTTGTTCTTCCGTTTTTGTCTTCAATTTATGGAGAGTAGATCACTTGCCCCCTCACGGGGTCCCAGGCCATGGCCGATTCTGTTTCCAGCGGCCCTGAGACGGACGCCTATCCACTGGTCAGCGATCTATCGCGGCCGATGCAAACACAAAAACAGGCGAGCGCCTTGCACCAATGTCCCCACGATAACAGTACGGCACGCACAAATTATCGCACCTTTTCCTCGTCCGAGGGCGGACAGGGTAGCGCCAAAGATTGTCCATCGGCGCCGGCTACCACCTTTGCTGCACCCGTGTCCGCTGCCCCCGCAACCACGGCGGTCGCTGCCGGTAGGCTTGTGGCCCACACGAAGCCCTCCTCCGCGTCCACCTCGGCCTCTCGCCTAGCCCTGGCGGCCGCCGACACCATGGGGGAAAACGTGGCGGAGGACGTCTTCGGCGACTGGCGGAAGGGCGGTGGGTGCGGCGGGGACATCAACGGGGAATGTTCCAGAATGTCTCCTCAGGGCTCCTGCCAAGCCTCCTCTGTCCATGTCGCCATCGAGTTCCTCCGCCGCAGGGAAGCCGTCGTCGTTGTCGGCGCCGCTGCTGTTCTTGTCGTTACCACTGACGAGCCCCGAGCGAAAAGGTGCGTCCCGGGAGCCATCTGGCCGGGCTGCTGCCCATGGCCTCGAAGTACTCCCGTGCAGATGCCCTTGGTTGGAAGCAATCTCGTCGTCCGACTACAGGGAGACGTCGGGCACCGCTGCCGCCTGCCCCTGCCGCCGAACAGGCCGGAACCGCTGGCGTAGCCCCCTCTCGTCGAGTTCCGGATCTTCTCGAACAAGTCCGAGACCTCGAGACTGGTAATGGCCGACCTGGTGCTGCCGAAGGCTTTGGAGGAGCTGCTGTTCCCGCGGACATCCCGAAATGATGGGGTGGTCGACGACAGAGTTCGGACGGGGCTGTTCGATTCGAGGTCTTTCGCCGTAGTCGCCTTTTTCCGACCACCCTCGTCCACGTCGTCGAGGTGTAGGGAGATCTCGGACCACGAGACGGAAAGATGCTGGGTTGGCATCAGGCTGGCGTCGACGGGGGTAGCATCAGCAGCAGCAGTCTCTGAGTCGGATACCACCGCCCCGGCGTCAGCGGTACCACCACCACCACCACCATCAGCAACGCCCGTCGGGCTAGCCAGCACGCCATCCACTTCTTCTTCGCCGACGCGACCATCCCGGTCGGTCGCCGTCGCCGTCGGGCGCGGTAGCAGCTCCTGTAACAACTCCCGACGCGGCGGCGTTTCGGCGTCAACGGCTGCAAGCGTCTTCTCGCCTCCTAGGGCCGAGCTGTCCGGCTGGGTGACTGAGGACATCGATCGAGGAATGCCAAGACCAACTCCCGGCTGAATACGGGGGAGGGAAGCGGGCGACGCCATACACAGTTCAACGTGTGTGTATGAACGTGTGTGGAAAATATCCATTTTGTTGCTCAGAAGCAGGAAGGAAAGTCCACATTTACATCACATGATTCAGTGTGACTTCCATCAGTGTGCGAGTGAGCGTGTGCATTAATTTCATTCATCTTGGAATTCGTATGCATGCGTACGTGTATCTAGCGCACCACAATAGCTGTTGGTTGTGTTGACGAAGGACGAAAGAGACCGGATGGTACATGGCTCTATGGCGCACAAATCCTCTTCATACTTTCGCATTCTTCCCAACTTCTTTCTGCAGCGGTGGCCTCTGTTCTAGGCCAACCTCTCCGATTACGTGCCATCCCGTTTTTTCCCAGTTCGACGTCAACGGGACTACAAACGGTAAGGTGGCAAAATACTGATTCACTTCATTCAGACGACCAAACGTCGACAAAAACACCCCACCAACTGGTTGTGAATGTGCCATGTTTTGATTTGGGCGGGTTATTATTCAATGATGGGTACATGACATGTTGATGCGTCGATGAAGAAGCACCCTCCATGAGGCAGTGCTTGTCACGGAGAGTTTTGGAAAATCCCAGAAACTGGGCGCCATTTCTTTCCCTCCAAAGTAACCGGCGGCTAGTCTGCGTGGTCGAAACAATCATCGGCAATCGCTTAATAGGCCTTTTGTCTCATTTCTGCAGATGAAAAAATAAAATACAGGGGAAACTTTCGCTCCTTTTCTCCTTTGGTGTATTCCGACAAGCACGTGGATGAATCACACCCCGTTTTCCGCAGCAGATCCGCCGGGATTAATCGAAAATTCGCGATCATTTCGATGTTGATGAAAATGGATGTACGGTGAGATATTGCCCAGAAAATACAGGGTTTCCGGTAAGGAAATGTGACCTGACCAAGGGATGGAGCACAGGTCAACATGCACGAGCCGTTAAATACGCACTATCGAGAGCACTCAACGGCCTCTGCGTCAAACACGACGTTGAAAGCGGGGCACCGTTCACGGGGGAAAAAAACCTGAGCATGGACATCGTCATCAGGCCAGGAGCCCTCACGAACGCATCTTCTACGGGGTACCGCAACAAAGGAATACTCCTCGATGTCACACACGCAGACCCGCAAGCACAGGTACACTTGCGGAACGGCAGCGCGACCAGCGATGGAACCGCAGCCCAAGCATCCGAGGGGCGAAAGCGTCAGCACTACGCTCGCCCGGGACACGTGTCCTTTGACGAACGCAGCTTTAAACTCACCACCTTAGCTGTGGAAAGCTTTGGCCGCCTTGGAGAGGAGGGTTACGAGTTCATCGATGGACTTGCCACACATGCCGTGGGAGGAAGGGACGGAGGAACGATGGCTCTGAGAGGAGTCTTCAAGGAACGACTTCTTCAGATCGTTTCGGTGGCTACACAGGTGGCCATATCTCGGCGAGTGCAGAGGTACAAACTCGCATTGCGCGGGCGTCAAGACGCCGAAAACAGGTGAACAAGATCGACCTCGAACCAGTCAACGCCAATGATATGGGGATGAGTGTAGACGCATCGTAGAACGCGTTTTCGTTTGAAGTTGGCGTCTTGTTTGAGAGTAGATGTGACAGATTTGCGTAGAATAGGGTCAGATGTTATCATGAACGGAGAAGAAAGGGCGTTTCCAACACGGAGACGTAGCATGGATCAAAGCATTTGTCGGATTTCAGCTTTTACAAGAGGACATCAACGCAGTAGTTTTTTAACAAGCTTACGAACGCATATGGGATAGATACCATGAGGATTGTCATTGGTTTTATTTCAAATTGAAGAGGAGATATTTTTACGATGTAAGTGACAGTAGAAATAAGTCCTACATATGTTGTTGTACTT